GAACCGCTGACTATTTTGCTGCCAAATAATACAGAACAAATCATTCTGACTTCTTAAAACAAACATTGTCTCTGCACTTTGGGAGATTCCCAGCCGTTGATCAATATCACCAAGCCTAAAATCCAAACGAGAGAAAGTGTGCTTTTGCAATGTGACAATCATTGACAGAGTGATGGCTTAAAAGTCCCTTTGGTCCACAGCTTTGTGTACAGTCTGCTTGTCCTTCACTTGCAAATTCAAGATGAGGTTCGCATTTGCCGCCCCGCTGGGTCTCTTTCTCATGCTGGCATTCCCTGGGGAAGGAACGTACGTATCTTTTTGTACATTTTTAAAATACACATTCTGACATTTCAACCACAGCAAAAGGGAGCGGACCCATTTTCACAAATACAAGTAGAGGAGAAGTCAAGGTAAAAAGTCACGAAACAAGCTCGACTCTACATGATAGCTGGCGTGTTTTTGGTTCCGTCTCTTTTGCCTACATATGTTCTGCTGCTTCCAACTAAAACATCTGGACAAAAACATGTTTCACAACAGTTGCACAGTAGATTTGAGGTGATAGCCAAATGACGTCATTCTTCGGTTCCTCCCATGGGAACACTCATTTGAGCTAATTCCGTCACAAATGCTGTCCTTTCAGGGGTGTGGAACTTCCTGATCCACCGGCTGTGGACTGCGTGTGGAGCCGCTGGTCCGAGTGGAGCGCTTGCGATTCATGCACGTTAACCAGAGTGAGTCCAGTTGGGTTGTTGCGATTGAAGCCTGCGACGTCCCGTTCCCCATGATGTCAAGAGTTGGTCACTTTTGTTTGAGCGGCAGGAGTGACCCTCCTCCTCATTGAAGGCCATTATGCTTTCTTCTGCTGCAGCGGGGAAGCGGCGGTTAAGCGGGCCAAAATGCAGACGGTAGTGGGTGGGGCGGGGGCAAAAAAAAAAAAGAGTCGCATACTTGGCGCGATCTAACCAAATGACATCATAAGACGATGAGAATTAGAGAAGAAACGAATCCAAACTACATCCTAATCACATTTGTCCTCGCGCTCAAGCAACTGATCTTGATTTCCTTCCATGTCATTTGTCACGGTCAGAGGCGTTCTCGGAGCACCGTGGTGTTCGGCCAATTTGGCGGCGAGTCCTGCCAGGGTTCCATCGGCGAGCGGGAGTCCTGCGTAAGCGACGCCACGTGTCAACAACCTCCGCGTGCCGCCTGCTCCGACACGCAGTTCCAGTGCGAGTCAGGTGAATTCCTCTCTTAAGAAGTATGATGAGCTGCTCTGGATAAAAGACGGTCATGCCAAGTGAATAGGGACCGCGCCGTGGCCTGAATACTTTGGAATAAAAATCTATTTAAAAAAAGCGAGCATCGCAAACGAAGATGTAGCCACTGTCGTGGTCCAATGGCCATCCTTGGCAAACTGAGTGCACTCTTCACGCAGGTTCTTGCATCAATAAGAGGCTCATGTGTAACGGGGACTATGACTGCGAGGACGGATCCGACGAGGACTGCGAACCCGGCCGCCACCCGTGCATCTCCGCTGTGCTGGAAAACAACGAGCAAGGAAGGACGGCAGGATACGGGTACAAATCAGTTGATTCAACACATACATACACGCTACCCGAGTTCTGCCCAGTGGTCTGCAGTTCTCCAGCTTGTCCTCCTTCGTCCTTCCGCCAGAATCAACATTTTGGGGGCGGACCCTCGCATGAACCCCTTCAACAATGACTACTTCAATGGCCAATGCAATCGAGTCAAGAATCCGTACACCGCAAAGTACGACAGGCTTCCGTGGAACGTCGGCGTGCTCAATTATCAGGTGAGTCGGAAAGACGATTCGGCGCATCGGCGTGAGATGGTGACCGACGCCTTCGGTTCTGCAGACGCTGGTGGAAGAAACGGTCTCCAGGGAAATTTATGAGGACACGCACAGCCTGCTGAAGGAGATTCTCGGCGAGATGAGCAGGACGGTGGACGCCGGACTTTCCTTCAAGTTCAACCCCAGCGAGGAGTCCATGTCGGGCAAGCCTGCCAGCGTGGGCTTAGATTATCAGTATGAGAAGAAAGCCATGATCAAGGAGGTGTCCGAGTACTCTAACATCCGGGTATTTTTACTTTTTTTCAATTTTTGTCACACACTCTCATTCAGTTCAATCCATGTTGTGCTGCTGCTCATTCTGTTAGGTGCCCCTTGGCCACCAGGGGGCAGTATGAAAGCCAATTCACTCTTCTTTCTGTGCCTGGATGATTTTGCCTGACCTTTCTTCGCTGTCACAAATGGGTGGGGGGCCGGGGGCACTGACGCCCGCGTCATCCTTCATTCTTCTTCCCGTCCAGAACAAGAGCTTCATGAGGGTCAAGGGGAGGATCCAGATGAGCACCTACAGGCTTCGTTCCCGTGAGCTCCGACTGGCCGACGAGTTCCTGGCGCACGTCCGCTCTTTGCCTTTGCAATACGACAAGGGCATCTACTTTGCCTTCCTGGAGGACTACGGAACGCACTACACCCAAAACGGAAAGTCTGGCGGAGAATATGAGCTCATCTATGTTCTCAACCAGGACGCCATCAAGGCTAAAAGTACGCCGGTCATCGCACACTGGTTGGGGTGTTGGCAGCTCCATTACATGTCTTCTTTTTTTTTTTCTTTTTTTTTACTTCCAGATCTAACAGAGAGAAAAGTTCAAGAATGCGTCAAATTGGGCATCTCGGCGGACTTTAACATGGAGAATGTTAAGGATGGGAAAGTTCATTACAAAGATGACAAGTGTAATGACGTATCCACAAAAGGCGAAGGTTTGTCTTGACTCGCTGGGATTTGAAAGTGTGCGTTTTTTGAGGAAGACTTTTTTTTCAAAATGCATTCAATGGGCGTCAATGAGAAGCAGATTTGCTCTCTTGACGGGTCGGCCCGGTTCCTAACCCCTGCGAGCACTTTAATACTAACCTATCTTGTAAAAGATTATAAACGGCTACTTTAACGCACTCTGAGCAGCAACACATACAAGCAACATAAAACACTCTTCTCAGAGTAGCGCTCGTCCTGCCGAGCATGCCGTGGCACAACGTGGTACTACATTGCAGGGGACTCCCATTTTTACCCGCAGCTGAGATTGCTGGCAAAGCCGTGGTGGACAAGGTGATGACATCCGTGAAAGGAGGCACCCTCGTTAGTGCGGTGACCATGAGGGCCAAACTGAACAAGGACGGGCTGATGGACATCGACACCTATCAGGCGTGGGCTCGCACCATTGCCGACGTTCCTGCGCTGCTCAACAGTGAGGTAGGAAGCAAGAGCAAGGACCTTTCGGCTTTTGCCAGCCAGAAGAACCCGAGTTGTCTTGCGTCCTTGTGTCCAATTGTCGTATGGGACTTTGATGAGCCTTTCCGTCCAATTTCTTTGCCAGCCACGGCCCATCGATACGCTAGTTCCCTTGCACATGGCCGACGCCAACGTAAGGATCGCCAACATAAAGAGGGCCACGGCGGACTACGTGGCCGAGTACAGCGTGTGCAAGTGTAAACCGTGCCACAACGGCGGCACTGTCACACTCATGGATGGAAAGTGCTTGTGTCTGTGCCCGCACCTCTTTGAGGGAATGGCTTGCCAGAACTTCAAAGGTGACAAAGCCAAGCACACAGGTGAGAATCCCATCATGAGGTGCATTCCTTACTCGTGATCAACTCTGCTGACGGTCACTGTGGTAGGTTTTTTACTGCCAACTAACTCCGCTGACCATACGTCAACTGTACTGACCCCTTCGACACGGTTTATTGTTACTCACGACCAACATTTCCTGTGCAGGCGAACGGCCCGAGGTCTCCCAGGAAGGCAACTGGTCCTGTTGGTCCGGCTGGTCCGAATGCAGCGGGGGCAAACGGACTAGGACACGAAGCTGCAACGTAAACGGGCTGCTCGATGCCCGCTGCAAGGGTGACACCAGCAATGAAGAGTACTGCTGAGGAGCATACACTGCCGCCTCGTGGTCGGTCATGGCATCGGCATACATTTGCCGTTGCATGGAAATCTTTTTTTTTTTTTCTATCGGCGGGTTTCCTTCCCTTTTCAAATTGTGTTTAATATTTAATACAAAGCAATGATTCAATAGCTGCATCAATGTGTGTAAATAAAGTTGTTTCAAGCCATTATCGTGTTGTACTGTTTTGAATTAGCCTACGGGGAAGGTGAGGCTGAGATTGCTGCCTTCCATCTCCTCTTCCCCCTTCATGTAGCGAAGCCAGCCAGCCGATGGTGAAGCGGTGTTTCCGTTGAGGACACACCGTAAAGGCTACGCCATAAAAGAAACAATAACAAATAGCAACTATAAACGGACATGTGAAAATGTCAGCTCTCACACAAAGCTCTCATGAGCGTCACTGCAATATAAATAACAAACGAAACACCTTTCGATGGGTAACTCGCATCATAAAAATGATCCAGAAAGAATCAAACAACATATATACATTGTCCCCATTCCAACCAGGTGCTTGCATCGATGTATAAATCCGTGACATCGAACAGCAACAATGTACAACTACCTGTCAATTAAAACCACGTTTGATTGCCATATTTTTGAAGAGTGTCGAAGTGAAGTCAAGTTTCCACGAGAGCATCGCCAGTGACAGGCTGTGGTTATTTCAAAACCTCATTTCAATGTCACACGCCCGGTGGGCCGTTTTCAAGAAGTGATGTGGACAAGGGAGGAAAACAATTGATGCTGCTTGGGAGTTGTGAGAGTCACGATTTCGAGTCCTGACAGAAGAACGGTGCAAAACCAGAGTTGTATACCAAATTTTTATTTGTCTTTTTCTCAAAACAAATGGAGACGAAATCTGTGTGTCCCCGGCGGGTTTTCAAGAAGTGATGTGGACAAGGGAGGGAAACAATTGATGCTGCTTGGGAGTTGTGAGAGTCACGATTTCGAGTCCTGACAGAAGAACGGTGCAAAACCAGAGTTGTATCCCAAATTTTTATTTGTCTTTTTCTCAACACAAATGCAGACGAAGTCGATACATGAGATGCAAACAGAATCTGTGTGTCCCCGGTGGATTGTCGCTTTGTGGTTTCAGTGCAGTCGAGGGAATGACCTGAAGAAGCGGAATGGGCCTCTTTCGTGTCAAATCTGAAACCATGTTTTATGTTTATTCAACTTATTATTCTGACTCAGCAGTTTAGGTTGAAGATTGTGTCAACAGTTTTCTTGTGTCACCGTCAAGTCTATAAGAGTTAGCCAAGTGAGTCCCAAGTTCTAAAATGAGTGACTTAACGATTGGCTCCGTCCACCTCACCTCATTTGTGATGCTTCTTATAGATGGCAATGTACTCCTGCACGTCGTCGGGCGAGCCCAGCACCACGGGGACCCTCTGGTGGATGTTGGTGGGCTGGATGTCCAGAACGTTGCCGGCCCCCGTGGTGGCCATGCCGCCCGCCT